AAAACATCTAACGCACCCCCCGAGGTCACAGGGCGTCGCAAGGAGGCGGTGAAGAGCACCGCCGACCTGGTGACCGAAGCGGGGGGCCAAGGCGGCGACGCGAAACGTGGGAGGTTCATGGGATTTGAGATGGTTTGATAGGGATATATTGCGAGAGTAATGGGAAAATAGGGAGGCTCATTGGATATTAGGTGGTTGTTGTGCCAAAACAAAGGTAATATGGGAAAATCCCTGGGTACTCATCTATGAATGGAACACAAATGGGAGAATATGGAATGTTCACCCAGGCCCCAATCGATAGCTAAGTTGTTTTTCTTGTCTAGGTCAATTCATGCCTATGGTTCTTGGTAGATACATATCGAATTGGCTACTGGGGTTTACAACCGTTCTTGCGATGATCTTCCTCGAAGGCTTGATCAGAATGAAATCTTTTTTGATATTCCACGACATTTTAGCATTTTTTCGCCAGCATGAATCCAACATGTTCATCGTCTCTCCTCTTAAAATCACCCTATTTCATGCATGCATCATCACTTGGGTGCTCACTTGGGGTGATTACTGGATATTTAACCAAAGGGGATTTGTACCAATTAACTTACGGAGGTGATTTCCATGGTTTTATAGTTTCTATTTTAATACAAAGAACCCTAGCTGCACCCCGAAGTAAAAAGGATCAGATAACGATTAAAGCCGCAGTAAGTTGGTGTATATTTTTCCTCGGACGTATGGTGGATATGCAGATAATTATGGATATAAAGATTACAAAGGTGGTTTCAATGGTTAGTAACGGGAGTAATGATGTTAAACAGGGTCTATATATGCCCACAGGACTTCTGGGAAAGGGGTTCATTGAACAATATTCTGCAAAGTCATTACGGGTGTTTGAGGTTCATAGAACTTAACCAAGACAAAATAGGAATAAAACCAGTATAATGGGTGGACTTCATCATCAACAGCAACGGGATTTTTTTTGGCTCAGGGAACAAAGACGCCGATTTTGAACCAACCAGTTTACGGTAAAGACGGGGATAAAAAGGGAAACGATGAATGGCTCATGATTTCGATCTACCCCCCGCCCAGTAACAGCAGATAAATGATTTTCCTTTAACCTACCCTTTCAAAACGAGCACAAGGAAATTGCTCCAAAAATCTCGGCTAGGAGGTGCCCAAAAAAAAACGTCAACCTGCCCTCCAAACCTCTGATACAGAATTCAGAATTCAAGACAGGGGCTTCACTTTCAAGATCTTTCAAGCATATCAGTTGCATTCCAACATTAAAAAAAGAAGAGCGCAGACTACAAACAATACATTCATGTGTCACCCTGAGAAGGTGCGAGCAAGGCGTCTGCATCGAAGCAAGGACTAGAACATATTGTGAAAGGATTTGGCCGCTTGATGCAACTGTCACAATGCACCGTAATGTGCTCAACCATGGAGTCAGATTGGCCATGTGGAAAAATGGAAATGTTATATACTTGGCAACCATCCTAAACTTTAAATTCTAAACCCCGAGCCCATTCGAACCCTAAATCGCAAAACTTCATTGACGCGTAAGTACCAACCGCCAAAACCAGCAAAAGCTAGACTAGACACAAAAAGAGCACAAAAAAAACACAAAAAAAAAACATAATAAAGCACAAAAAAAAGCACAAAAAAAAGCACAAAAAAAAGCACAAAAAAAGCACGAAAAAGCACAAAAAAAGCACAAAAAAAAGCACAAAAAAAGCACAAGGAGGCTGCAAAAATAATTTTGCGAAAAAAATGAAAAAAAACCAGCCCGGGCAAGGAAAGGTCCAAAGGGACGACAAAACGAGCACCAGAGAGACCACAAGAAAAGCACAATTTGAGCACCAGCCGAGCACAATTTGAGCACCAGCCAAGCACAATTCGAGCACCAGCCGAGCACAATTTGAGCACCAGCCGAGCACAATTTGAGCACCAGCCGAGCACAATTTGAGCACCAGCCGAGCACAATTCGAGCACCAGCCGGGCACAATTCGAGCACCAGCCGGGCACAATTTGAGCACCAGCCGGGCACAATTTGAGCACCAGCCGAGCACAATTTGAGCACCAGCCGAGCACAATTTGAGCACCAGCCGAGCACAATTTGAGCAGCAGCCGAGCACAATTTGAGCATCAGCCGAGCACAATTTGAGCACCAGCCGAGCACAATTCGAGCACCAGCCAAGCACAATTTGAGCACCAGCCGACCACAATTTGAGCACCAGCCGTACACAATTTGAGCACCGGCACCTGGGCCAATCAGAAATGACCAAAAATCAATGCAAAGCAGCTGAGGGACCACAAGAAAAGCACAATTTGAGCACCAGCCGAGCACAATTTGAGCACCAGCCGATCACAATTTGAGCACCAGCCGAGCACAATTTGAGCACCAGCCGGGCACAATTTGAGCACCAGCCGAGCACAATTTGAGCACCAGCCGAGCACAATTTGAGCACCAGCCGGGCACAATTTGAGCACCAGCCGAGCACAATTTGAGCACCAGCCGAGCACAATTTGAGCACCAGCCGAGCACAATTTGAGCACCAGCCGAGCACAATTTGAGCACCAGCCGAGCACAATTTGAGCACCAGCCGGGCACAATTTGAGCACCAGCCGAGCACAATTTGAGCACCAGCCGAGCACAATTTGAGCACCAGCCGAGCACAATTCGAGCACCAGCCGAGCACAATTTGAGCACCAGCCGGGCACAATTTGAACACCAGCCGAGCACAATTTGAGCAGCCGAGCACAATTTGAGCACCAGCCGGGCACAATTTGAGCACCACCCGAGCACAAAAAACAGAAAACAGTAAAACCAGCCCAGCCCCAGCGCCACGCCCAGCCCCAGCCCCAGCGCCCCCAGGCCCAACCCAACCACACCAGCCCCCAGCACCCCAGCCCAGCCAAGCCCAGCCCCAGCCCCCCACCCTTGCGTTTGGTGGTGGTGGTTGTTGTGGTGGTGGTGGTGGTGCTGCTGCTGCTGCCGCTGCTGGTACTGCTGGTTGTAGTGGTCGTGGTGGTGCTCTCGCTGGTGGGGGGCGGTTGTTGTTATTGTTGCTAGTTGTCACATTGCTAAGCTGTCGTAGTTACTAAGAATTGCTAAGGTTTCCAACGGAATGTTGGTGATAAGTTGGCCAGTTCCTAGCAAATCTGTAGCAACCAGAGCCGAGAAGAGAGAAACATACACCTGTGCAGCTTGATTCCTTCCGATTCACATGAAACATTTTTTCAACCATTTGATGATTTACATATTCATGGTGTCTACCTGATCCTTTTTTTGGTTTTGGTATAAGAATTTATCCGTATCATATCACCAGATTAGACCCTTATTTTCTGCATTTGGCTGGTGCTCATTTTGTGCCCCTGGCTTGTGCTCACTGTTACTGCCCCGGGGGTAGATCAAACTCATGATCAATGATGGTGGCGGATGGAACGGCAATTTCAGCCGCAAAAATGACGGGGTCAGGAACAGGGATTTCGATTTTGCCACGATATTGATGATCATAAGTTTAGTTTCCTGCAATGTCCAAGTAATTTTATCGCATGTGCTGGAGTTCAGGGCCAAGTAATTTGGGCGACCTCCTGATTGAAGCTGGTGTTTCTCCATGTTTAGCGTGCCAAGTTGAAGCCAAGCAGCTATGATAATGGGGTTGCCTGAAAATCGGGCACCCGCAATTTAATGCTTAAACGAACATGTTTAAACACTATTTCCCTAGGCCCTATTCACATGTTTTTCTCGCCAGGCGTACCACTCGTCTGCGACCATGCAGTGGATGAGCAAGTTAAGGGGGTCTTCGAGGAGCAGCTTGGAGAAACGGTAGCCGGAGATGGGTTCCCTTCTGTCAAAATCTTAAACCCAGGGTGCAACAGATTTTGGTGACTTGATTCTGGAGGAATCCAATGTCAAGGGATTAGGTTCATCCTAGTTTTTTTGACTATTTGTTGGGGGGTACTTACTTTTGACCCATGCCCTTGTATGGTGGCTTGAAAAATAGGAGTTTGTTCATTAAAGATTCTTGGACATGGGTAGTGGACACCAGCAAGAGATGGAGGGGGTAACCCAATTTGGCTTTGAATGAACTATGATTGCTGGTGGTGACCCATTCCTAATGGGATATAAACAAATCAGTCAGCAACAATTTGAAACATGGATTTAAAGGGTTACAGATCAGCAAAAAATGGGCGAATCCAGCTGTAACGATGGTACCTTAAATCTGCCATGGAACTTGGAATTTACCATGGGAACACATGGTCCGAATCTCTAGGGAACACTTAAAAATGGATAGAATCTAAGGGTTGAAATCCTAGGTTTGTGGTTGAACTTCATGATTGAACATCAAGGGAGTACGGATAGGGTTAGAAGTAGACGCAACAATCATTGGAGCGGCTAGAATCAAGGGTTGATTGAGGTTGTAAACCCGTTGGTGTCTTAATACTGGCGAATGACCTATACAGGTCTCATTTGTGTGCGGGTAGCTGTGGTGAACATGCTGAAACGCCCATGATATTATCGAAGGATATACCTGAGTAAGCTATACTGCAACGGCCTCAAAAAGAAATTTGGCCCTGAATGATAGTAAGGTAATCCGCCCAAATCACCTGATTTCAGGTTCCTGTGAAATCCTTTTAGTTGAGTGTGCTCAACACGAAAGCATCTAAAATGCGTGTCTTTTCCATAGCCCGGTTGCTTCAACAGAAGATGTAACCTTGCAGGGGCCATCATCTAAGACCTGGCGATTTGTGGGGATGCGATGCGGTATCCATGGAACGATGACGATGTGGACGGGGAAAACGATGTTTCAAACAAATGCCATGCTGGGACACCTTGTTTTCAGACAAATCCATCTGCATCTAAGTCCAGTAAACCCTACTTGTCAAGTATCCTACAGCTTGGCCTTCTAAACAAAGAACAGAAACACAAACAAAACTAGCCTGTTTTCAATACAACGATTCCAAGTTGCCAACGCACCTGCGAGCAGCATGTCGGATCTCCCTGCCGGCTGTGCCCAGGATTGGTGCTCAGACTGTTCCTCGGCACTCCGGAGCTGTCCCAGAAGTAGTTGTTACGTTATGTCTTGGTTCCTTTTTGCAACCATGGTCACCAACTAACTCCCCACACATGATTGCTGGAAATTACCCACCCGTCTTTAGGGTTTCCCTGCCCTCACACTACATTCCGATACATTTCTGTGATGGTCACCACGGTCACCCGTCGATTGGGTGGGTCTTCACCCCAACTTGGACGATCCTGGAAGTCAGGAATGATGATTAAAAGCTTAGTTGGTACCACCCCAAACATCCTTGGGTATATTTCATGGGTGAAAGTGTTCTTCATCATCAATCTCAATGCGGACTGTTCTGTTGGGATGTGAACGAGAAATGGGTTTGACCTGTTTCCATAATCCTAGGATGCTCAGTTGCTTACGATTCACTAGCAATTAGGGCCTCCCATAGGTATTGACTCATCCATATAGATTTTTTGCTAGTTGACGGAAGGTTATCCCCCTACCCCTCTGCTTTCTAGTTTTCTACATATGTCTCATACATGTATATACATATTTGTATCAATATGTTATTCGATGTGTACATCTACATTGCTTCTTTCTCTAGTGGTCTATCTATCTATTTTTGTTTTTTATATGTCGGTTTTTTCACCCATTGGATCCCCAGGGCGGTCAGCTGGACATCTTGGTGAACAACGCCTTCCAGGACCCGGCACAGAAGGACGCCAAGAGCGATGAGTTGCTCAGCAAGGCCGGCGCTTGGGAGGTTACGCATCTAATGGCAAACCTTCCTTTTATAGGTGGCTTAAATGGGTTTTTAATTGTGTTTTATCAAAGGAAGTTTAGGGGGAGAAACTTCCGTGTTACGGACTTTAGAATGTCAGGGAAAGAGTTAGTCAAAGAAAGAGGTAGTGAGGGAAAGAGTCAGTTAGGGAAAGAGTTAATTGTAACTTTTAGACTGTCAGGGAAAGAGTTAGTCAAAGGAAGAGTTAGTTAGGGAGAGAGTTAATTGTAACGTTTAGAATGTCAGGGAAAGAGTTAGTCAAAGAAAGAGTTAGTGAGGGAAAGAGTTAGTTAGGGAAAGAGTTAATTGTAACTTTTAGACTGTCAGGGAAAGAGTTAGTCAAAGGAAGAGTTAGTTAGGGACAGAGTTAATTGTAACTTTTAGAATGTCAGGGAAAGAGTTAGTCAAAGAAAGAGTTCGTGAGGGAAAGAGTTAGTTAGGGAAAGAGTTAATTGTAACTTTTAGACTGTCAGGGAAAGAGTTAGTCAAAGGAAGAGTTCGTTAGGGACAGAGTTAATTGTAACTTTTAGAATGTCAGGGAAAGAGTTAGTCAAAGAAAGAGTTAGTGAGGGAAAGAGTTAGTTAGGGAAAGAGGTGGTCAAAGAAAGAGTTAGTGAGGGACAGAGTTAATTGTAAATGACATCTTCAAGTTGGATTTTTGAAGGAAGTCTTGCACGAAATGCGTTTTTGAGAGATAGCAGATGCGCGAAACCCTATGTTTTTCCATACAAAGTCCGTCCCCGAACCTCGATGATCTACCTCTGCGGTGCGACGGGTGCGAGACGGTCTCGTGTGTGGTCGGATCATGGTCGGATCATGGGCGGATCATGCTCGGATCGGTTCCGCATTGTAAATGGGGTTTCAACTGTTTTTTGTGCATGTGTGGTCGACAGAATTCCATTGTGATTTGCAACTGTAGGATCGTTCCCGCAATGTAAATGGGATTGCAAGTGGTGCTGGTGGATGAGTTGCCGATGGAATTCCATTGTGATTTGCAACTGTAGGATCGTTCCCGCAATGCAAATGGCATTGCAAGTGGTGCTGGTGGAGGAGTTGCCGATGGAGTTTTGAAGGAAATCTCGCACGAAATGCGTTTTTGAGAGATAGCAGATGCACGAAACCCTATGTTTTTCCATACAAAGTCCGTCCCCGAACCTCGATGATTTACCTCTGCGGTGCGACGGTTGGGAGACGGTCTCGTGTGTGGTCGGATCATGGGCGGATCATGGGCGGATCATGTTCGGATCGGTTCCGCATTGTAAATGGGGTTTCACCTGTGTTTCGTGCATGTGCGGTCGACAGAATTCCATTGTGATTTGCAACTGTAGGATCGTTCCCGCAATGTAAATGGGATTGCAAGTGGTGCTGGTGGATGAGTTGCTGATGGAATTCCATTGTGATTGGCAACTGTAGGATCGTTCCCTCAATGTAAATGGGATTGCAAGTGGTGCTGGTGGATGAGTTGCCGATGGAATTCCATTGTGCTTTGCAACTGTAGGATCGTTCCCGCAGTGTAAATGGCTGCGTCAAGGTTGCTTCGTGCTGTGGCTGCATTGGTAATACTATTGTCTTTTGCAGCTGGACTTCGTAAATCGTATTGGAGTGGCTGCATGAAGGCTGCGACAGTGATTTGTCAGCAGATTTTCTCCATTTTGGCGCTAGTCATTTTCCTTCAAAAAATCCTTTTACAAAGTGCTTCAAAATCGTCTTTTTTTCGCTCTGGCGTCGAGATCCGGTTTTGGAGCTACAATTTCTGACGCCGTTGCGCGTAGTTCTATTGTGTTTTGCAACTCAGTCTCTGCAGATCGCATTGTAGTGGCTGCGTCAAGGTTGCTTCGTGCTGTGGCTGCATTCGTAATACTATTGTCTTTTGCAGCTCGACTTCGTAAATCGTATTGGAGTGGCTGCATGAAGGCTGCCACAGTGATTTGTCCGCAGATTTTCTCCATTTTGTCGCATTAGTGTTTTTTGGTTCCAGGTAGGTTTAGAGCAGTGTGAAGTGTGGGGCGTAAAGAGTGCAGTGTGAAGTGTGAAGTGTGAAGGAAGCAGTGGGAAGTGTGAAGTGTGGAGTGTGAAGTGTGCAGTGTGGAGTGTGAAGTTTAAGTTTGGAGTGCGAAGAGCGCAGTGTGAAGTGTGAAGTGTGAGGTTTGGAGTGTGAAGGAAGCAGTGAGAAGTGAGAAGTGTGGAGTGTGAAGTGTGGAGTGTGAAGTTTGAAGTTTGGAGTGCGAAGAGTGCAGTGTGCAGTGTGCAGTGTGAGGTGTGGAGTGTCGAGGGAAGGACACGGTCGGGACAGGTTGTCTTTGAACTATAGGTCATTTATGTTTGGGAAACTTCCGCCGCCGGCTTGCCCGGGTCTATGTTAGTGGTTTGATGTGGTTTTCTAGTGATTGAATGGTTTTCTAATCGTTTCATGGAATGTTGATGGATACCATCTGGTAATCAACCGTGGCTAGCTGCCAAAACCCCCAGGAAATGGATGTGCTTCTGGGAAAATATGGGAAGCTATGCAAAAATACGGGCTATATACTGGGACTACCATTCTAAAAAGAGCCAGGGTAATGTTAAACCTAAATAATTGTGTAATGTCCAAGATAAACCTATCTTAATGGGTTGCATCCCCACCACGGATGGAAGAAGTCCGGTC